TTGCAATGTATATATGTTTCTCCTCTTGTTTAAAGTATTGTACCTATGCAGTTCCTTTAAAAATGTAAAGTAAAATGTAAAGTAAAATTTTAGTTTTTGAAAGCTATTATTATATGTCGGGGGCAGTCTTTGCGGGGCTGCAATCAGAGCCAGCCGAGTGGCTCCAAGTCCATACCTGAGTGGGGGAGTGTGGATGAGGGAAAGGCTAGCTATAGATAATAAAGAAAGAGAGAGACAGAATAAAGGTCAGGAGGGCAGATCAGTCAAAACTGAAATGCCAGGAGTTTATTTTTCATCAGTCTTATATACCATAACCAAAAAGGGGAACACAGTATCATGTGTATGGAACAGATTTTTCTTCCTTACTTATTCTAAGGGTTCAGTAACCACACCTTAGTTCGAAACTTTTTGTTCCCTAGCCTTGAGGTCAGGAGTAGCCACACCTCAGATTCAAGTCTGTTGTTATTTAGACTAAGACGGCCGAAACATCCTTCTGTAGCCACACCTTTGACTTGATGATAGCTTTGAACTCTGTCCTTGTGCCAAGATGGAGTACAGCCATCTTTATGGGCACTCACAATTATAAACTATTTAGGATAATCAAGAAACATATGCTAGTAGTTAGTCAACTATAACAATCAAATTTGTAGTTATGATAGGTGTGTTTTCAAGATGTTACAGAGATATATTTTAATAGTTAGATAAATGGTCTTCAAACACTTCAAAGACCTATAGAATGTGGTATTTAAATGTTTTGTTAACTTCAGGTTTTTCATGACAGTGAGACGAATCTGCTTCTGGTAGCATCAATTTACTTCAGAGATGATGGGCATCAAAGAAAGTCCTTATAGAGTTTGCTTTCATTCTGGCAAGGTTAGCCACTGGACAAAGAAACTGCTTTTGCCTTGACTGCTTGACAGTGTACTGTGCAGATTGGACATGCAGGACCCACAGGAAAGTGACTGCTGAACTTTGCCAAAACAAGGTGGGACAGTCCTTTGTCAGTGCCCATAAAGATGGCTTCACTCCATCTTGGTGCAAGAACAGAGAGGTCAAAACTGTCCTCAGCAAGTCATAAGACATAAAGGTCAAAGGTGTGGCTACAGTATGTTGTTTGGCTGTCTTAATCCAAATAACAACAGAACCCGTCTGAGGTGTGGCTACTCCTGACCCTCAAGGCTAGGGAACGAGAAGTTGAATCTAGGGTGTGGTTACTGAACCCTTAGAGTAGGGAGGAAGAAAAGTCTGTTTGCTCCATATACATGATACCATGTCCCCCTTTTTGGATAAGGTATATAAGAGTGGGGAAAAATAAACTCGTGGCATTTCAGTATTGACTGATCTGCCCTCCTGATTTTATTCTGTGTCTGTCTTTATTGTTTATATCTAACCTTATTGCGGTTAAATAAGGATCAGGATAAACAAATAGGCTGAATAGATGTTTATTCAGGGAGAAATAACTTACAACCTAGACAGATGAACACCAGCAAGTTCCACCAGAACCTCTCCTCTCTGCAACGGGTCAGCAAAAGAGCGTTCCCTGGCTCCTCCTTAGACCTCCTTCCACAGGTCACTCCGCCCCTGGCTCCACCCCAATGGGCGTGGTCAGTGCCACAGAAGGAGGCAAAGTGAATATCCCTCTACATAGCCTTTCCCTTGTCCACACACCCCTACTCAGGTACAAACTTGGGGCCGTTCAGCTGGTTGCAGCCCCACAAAGGCAGCTTCCAACAGCCCTTCAGGGTTTCTGCTTCAGTGAACAGTCTGCCATACATTCTGCAGGACACAGAGGAAAATAACTGAGAGTTTTTTCAGTACAATTTTGCCTCACTGAAAAGTCTGGCAGATACTCTAGACCTGTAGGCTGAAGATGGATGCCCCAACATTGCTGAGGAACCTTGCTTGGGTGACTGTCCAGGCAGTCAGATGTCTCTGTCATTTCTAAAGTTTTAGAAGTTGCTTGCAATGCACTTCCTGTTCACTCAGACAATATTATATCCTTCTAGGGCCTTTGATGGAGTTGAAGACTAAATAGTTATAGTTGAAGTTTTCCTTAGTTATGATAGAAAATAAATTAGGTATAAAACTTTGGGTTGACTAAAATAGTGTGGATTCACTAAAATAAATGGAGTATTTTGTCTGAGTTTGCTAAATAACAAATGGACTAAATATAATAAATTAATTCTTACTTGATAACTTTTTTGTTATCTTACTATCTTAAAGTTAAAATCTTCCATTTTTATTTAGACAAAAAGGGAGAGATGTTGTGGAATAGTATTTTAAGATGTGTTACATTTGTTTTGCTGTGGAACATTTGTTTAATGATGCAAAGATGTGTTGCATTTGTTGGGCCCTACTTGGCAGGGCCACTTGTCCAGTCCAGCAGATTTATCTGGTTTGTACTTGGAATGAGGAGTGTGAATTGAGGAAATAAATAGACAAGAGCAGAGAGAGAGTTGGGAGGGCATCCTGTGAATACCAGGATCAGCCCCAAGCTTATTACTCAAGCTCTTATATACCCCAATCAAAAGGGGGGAAGACAAAAGACTTCCTTACCAAGATACAAAGAACAACAAGCATAATTACCTCCTCAATACCCAAAACATCAAGTAACCACACTCTAAACCAAATATCCTGTTGTCAAGGCGAGACATCCATTAGCTATGCTTTAGGTCAGATATCCTGTTTTTAAGGCAAGACACACAATAGCCACACTTAAGGCCAAACACACTGTTGTTTAACCTTGAAGGAGCAATAATGGGCTCAAAGTCTCCGACCTTTGTCAAGATGAAACAGAGCCTGACATGTGTTCTTTTATGTTGCATCTGTTTAACTCTCTGAAGCTGTGTTACTGTGCCTGTCTAAAACACCTGATAGGTCTGATAAAGAACTGAGTGGCCAATAGCAAGGCAGGAGAGAGGATAGGAGGGGCTGGCAGGCAGAGAGAATAAAAAGGAAGAGAAATCTGGGAAGAGATGATTAAGGAAGGAGAGAAGGAGAGCAGACCCAGGGCCCAGACACTCTGCTACACAGCCAGCCATGGAGTCAGAAGTAAAGAAAGGTATGTAGGGTAGAGATAATAGATCATAAATTCAATATAGGCAAAAGGTAGATGGGATAATTTAAGAAAAGCTGGTTAGAAATAAGCCAAGCTAAGGCTGGGCATGTATAAGTAATAATAAGCCTCTGTGTGTGGTTTATTTGGGAGCTGTGTGGTGGGTCTCCCAAAGAGTAAAGAGTCAAAGAGTAAAAACCAACTATAGACAATGCATACTTTTTGAGATATTTCTTAGCCATTTCTATTTCTCCTCCAGAGAACTGTGTTCAGATGCCATGCCCACAGCTTGAATGGGTCACTTGTGTGTTTTGACTTTACTTTTTGAGTGGTTTGATTACTCTGGATTGTAATACACTGTCAGGTCCAGCTGGCAAAGATGCTGGTGGCTGTTTGCATCAGAATAACATCAGATCATCCAACTGAAACTTAAAAAGCCACAAGGGCATTTGACCATGCGCTTCACATTCTGAAAGACAACTGACAACTCAGAAAACTGCTCGCAGCAAAGCTGTCTGTCATCATTGTGCATCACAGGCATAGTTGGTGCTCAGTGCCAGGGGCCTCCCAGAGCCGAAACTTCATCTGTCACATAGACCTCAACACAGTCAGCTGGAAGATCTGGTCACTCTGTGCACAGAGAATTAATATCTGCTTCATCTTTCAGCTTAGTATAGACTTAGAGAGCAGAAACCTGATCTTGATCCAACATATTTGCGCTGAGACATGGTAGAAAGACAGAGTAAAAAGACAGGGACAATTGTGGATGCATAGGAAGGGAAAAGAACCCCCTGTCCTGAAGTTTGGCTGAAGGCTCTTCCTAGCTGAGGAGCAACAATTTCAGCCACAGGGGCTGGAGAGATGGCTCAGGGGTTAAGAGCACTGGCTGCTCTTCCAGAGGTCCAGAGTTCAGTTCCCAGCAACCACATGGTGACTCACATCCATACATAATGAGATCTGATGCCCTGCTCTAGTGTGCAGACATACACGCAGGCAGATTGTTGTATTCATAATAAATAAATAAATCTTCAAAATTGAAGAAAAAGAATTCCAGCTGTGAATGATGCTGACATGAAGATAATATTCCTTTCATAGATAGGTATTTTATATTAAAATAGCAACGAAGAGGGCTTAAAGCCTTGAGGACCTTGAGTAGAGCCTCGTTCTTCTCACAAACAGCCCAGAAACCACTGACAGGGAATTCCCTCATGGTTCTGAAGTCCAGATGAGTAGGTACGCACTTTTAGAACATTAGAAGTGAGCCCTTGTGAATGCCCCAGGAATGCCCCAGGTGTTCCGGCTGATCAAAGAATAGGTCTGTGACCTCCGGTGTGTGTCAGGAGTCTGTGTCAGGAGCGGTACTTCTCAGCTAGCTTGGATTCTAGGTCAAGCTGGTGAAAATCCCCTAATTGAGGACCCGCCCCATTTTCTGCCTTCTTATTAATGGCCTTCCCTTCACAGCTCACAGCTCACAGCTCACAGCTCCATAATACACTGACCAGAAGCAAAAAACTAATCACCTATTTACAGCCCGCTTCCACCTAGCTGACCTTGAGATGAGTCTGTACCCATGCCCAACTGCATCTTGTCCTCACTGACAGGGAAGTCCCCGCCCACATGGGCCTGTCAGCCTGGGACTTGTTCTCAGACTGGCACTGGTAGACTCTGTGGCCATCTTGGATGAGGGCTAGAAGACAATAACCCAGAAAGAACAGCGATGTAACCCTGGGCACAACCGCTAGGGAGCCTAGTTTGTGAGACCCCACTGCCACCATTTTTATGCAGGTGTCCACAAGTCCTTAATGTGTACCTGCTGCTTTCAGTGTTAAATTTTACCTACATTAGGGTGCGCACGGAGTTGGTTTCTGTCCCTTCTCGGCCCTGGTATCCGACACCTGGATCTGGCCAAGCGATCCTGGGCACACTGGGCTGGCCCGGGGCTGAGCCGGGGTCCCTATGGCGCGGCTACTTGCTCCGGGAAGGCTCTCGGCCCCACCCGCGTTCAGGAAGCGCGGGGCCGTGAGCTTCGCGGACGTGGCCGTGTATTTCTCCCCCGAGGAGTGGGGCTGTCTGCGGCCGGCGCAAAGAGCCCTGTACCGGGAGGTGATGTTGGAGACCTATGGTCTTCTGTGTGCGCTCGGTGAGAGCCTTTCCTGGCCGCCTGAGCTCTTGCTGTGCGTGACACTGTGGGTCCAGCGGTGCAGCAGGGAGCCCTGGGAACTGGTGGCCGGGATCAAATGGATTGGCCCCCTGCATCCATTGTGGCGTTTACTTTCTTTCTCTCCAGGAAGCAGAGACGCCAAGCCAGCGCTCATCTCCTGGGTGGAGGAAGAGGCAGAACTGTGGGGACCCGGTGCCCAGGATCCAGAGGTGGCCATGTGTCAGATGGACGCCAACACAGGTGAAGGACTGGGTGTTCCGGCTTTGCGGGAGTTCTCAGTAGCCGGCCAGTTGTGGTGCCTGCCTGGCAGTTTCTTCCCTGAACTGTTTTCTTGGCCAAAGTCATCATGCTTGACCTCTGGATTCACCTAGAAAGGGGCTGTGATTATGCCATGGTAGCACTGTCACTTCATATCTAGTCGGTCACGAAGCTATGTTGACTGTCACCCGTTGTTTCTGCTGCTCCTGCTCTGCTGCCATCACTGTGGCTGCCTTCTGGAGGCTCCCTCAGTTCTTCCTGTCCGCCTGTGGCAAGTGCGCAGCCCGCTGGATTTGGGATTGGGGACCACACTGATGCCCTTCTTTCTGCTGCCTCTGGACATCCACACACCCTGCATGCTCAGATGCTGTGGCCTCTCCCCTCCTGTGTCCTGTCTGTCACCATGTGGGGGTGTGGGAATTAAAGAGCAGGATCAGACAGAGTCTGAGCTCTTTTCCCTTCATCTCCAAGCAGATTGCAGACAGGAGGAAAGGGAGAGACCAAAAGGAGAAACTGAGGCAGCCCAGAAGACATTTTCTACACAAACTGGACCAAAGGATCCTCACCCTTCGGTTGCTGGACCCCCTTGCAACTTGGAGCTGCTGTCTAAGGACCCTCACCAGGGCCACCTCCCTCTTGTTGTTCACACCACTGTCCCAAGAGCAGATAGGCGCCATGGCTGTCGTGTGTGTGGGAAGAGTTTTGCCTGGCGGTCCACGTTGGTGGAGCACCTGTACACTCACACAGGTGAAAGGCCATTCCGTTGCCCTGACTGCAGCAAGCCCTTCGGCCGGGCTTCCTCCCTAAGCAAGCATCGGGCCATACACCGAGGGGAAAGGCCACATCGCTGTCTTGACTGTGGCCGGGCCTTCACACAGCGCTCTGCCCTCATAGCCCATCTCCGTATCCACACTGGGGAGAAGCCCTATTGCTGTGCTGATTGTGGGCGCTGCTTCAGCCAGAGCTCTGCACTGCATCAGCATCAGCGGGTACACAGTGGCATGACCCCCTTTCCTTGCACAGACTGTGGCAGAGCCTTTGCCCATGCCTCAGATCTTCGGCGCCACATGCGCACCCACACGGGTGAAAAGCCTTATTCATGTCCTGACTGTGGACACTGCTTCCGCCAGAGTTCTGAAATGGCAGCCCACAGGCGGACCCACAGTGGCGAGCGTCCCTACCCCTGCCCTCAATGTGGCAGGTGTTTTGGCCAGAAGTCAGCAGTGGCAAAGCATCAGTGGGTCCATCGGTCAGGAGCTAGGGGCCATAGGGACGAAGCAACCAGTCAGTTATCTGTATCCCTGGACACAGACCACGGGGACCCGGAGCCACCTGTGGGCTTCCGGCACTATCCAGAGATATTCCAGGAGTGTGGGGGATGGTCTTAAAAGCTCGACCACAGAGGGTGAAAAATACACACTGACGGAAGCCCAGAGGCTTGAACCTATGGCATCCTCTGGAAGTCACAGAAATTCTAGCAAGGGCTGGTCCTGAGGACAGAGTACAGTCTTGTGGGTGGTTCCCGATGCGTTTGCACACACACTGATCCCACTGGCCTAGGCGATCTGAGTCTTTTGGGCTAGGGTGGGAAACCCACCAGAACTCTATATGAGAAGCAAGGGCAGTTTTCTGGCTTAGAAGTATTGAGAGGTTCAAGGTTGAAGAGAACCTTGTATGATCCACAGTGGCCGAAGTTGATGGCTCTGTGTGAACTGAGAGCTGCATTTCCAGGGGTTATTAGTTACCGGTCAAGATCTGCGTGTGGTGGTGCATGCCTATGAGAGTCAGGAATGTCAGAAATTGGAGACTAGTTTGGGTTACCTGAGAGTTCATCTAAGGTGAATAAATAACAAGTGAAATTAATTGAGGTTTAAAAGTCAAAGTATTTCACATACAACAGAAAGTCCGTGTTTCTAGCTTCTTTTGAAAACAAAAACTCCAAAAGATTCAGCCAAGCAAACAAGACAGAACAGCTCTGGGTTCCATGCCCAGCTCTGCTTGTACCAGGTGTGGTAGCATATGTATATAATTCCACCACTGGGTAGTTGGAGGCAGGAAGTTCAGAAGTTCAAGGTTGCCTTCAGTTCACACACAGGTATCATAAAACACATGGGTCTTAGACAAATTGGGTATCTATGGAAAAATGAAGTTGGACCCTATTTTCATTCACATACAAAAATCAACTCCAAATGGATCATGATCATAAGATTTAAATTCAGGAGCAAAGACTAGAAAATCACAAGGAAGAAACAGACATAAATCTTTATGATAATGAATGAAACAGTGATTTCTTAGCTATTCTACCCAAAGCATGTGAGGATTAAAACATTTGTGTTCAAAGGGTATTATCAAAAAATGGAAAGAAGGCTGCCTTTGGCTTTTATTTCTGTGAAGAGACATCATATCCATGGCAACTCCTATAAAGGACAGCATTTAATTGTCATGGCTTGCTTACAATTCAGAGGTCTAGTCTGCTTGTCATCATTGCAGGGAACATGGAAGCATGTGGGCAGATGTGGTGCTGGACCTGAGAATCCTTACATCTTCATAGGCAGGCAACAGGAAATGGAGTGAGACATTGGTAGGTATCCTGAGCACAGGAAACCTCAAAGCTCACCCCCACAGTGACACACTTCCTCCAACAAGGCCATACACACTCCAACAAAGCCACAGCTACTAATCGTACCATTCCCTTTGAGATTATGGGGCCACTATCAAACCACCACAAAGGCCAAGCATTGGGGCTGTACAGATGTCTCAGAAGGTATGAGTCCTGGCTGCTCTTTGAAAGAAAGGACTGGGGATTGATTCCTAGAAACCATATGGGATCTGATGCCCTCTTCTGGTGTGCAGATGAACATGGAGACAGACTAAGTACCCATATACATAAAATAAAGTTTTGCTTTGTTTTTTCAAGACAGTGTTTCTCTCTGTAGCCTTGGCTGTCCTGGAACTTGCTTTGTAGACCAGGCTCAGCTCCCTAAGCACTCACCCTAGGAATGTTCTCTTGACCAATGAGAAGTTCCTTACAGCACTATAATATCTTCTTTTAGCAAAAATGGACTGTGCAGTCTTTGTCCTTCTTAAAGATCTTACTTATTTATTCATTTAGTTATTTATTTGCAGTGGGTGGTGTAATGCTAGCCTCTGAGTGTTTTGCAGAGCTACATATCATCTGGAAACATACAGGTGCATCTACAGGAACAAGGTTGGGAAGTCAGCTCCCCAGGGGAACAAGGGCCAAGGCACAGCTGTGAAACTGTTGGGAGCTTATGTTGGGGATGGCAGAGATGATACCCAAAATAAATGAGAAAATCCTCCAGCAGCCTGTGCTTGTAAATGCTGAAATGACCATTAAAGAGTGAGCAAAGAAACAGCTGATCAAGGGGGAGCTCATGGACTCCAGTCTGATAGCTGGGAAGCCAGCATAGGACCTACCCAGACCCTCTGAATGTGGTGTTAGTTAGGAGGCCTGGGCAGTCTATGGGGCCTCAGGTAGTGGATCAGTAATTATCCCTAGCATACGAGTGGACTTTGGGAGCCCATCCCACATAGAGGGATACTCTCTCAGCCTAGACATATGGGGGAGGGCCTAGGCCCTGCTCCAAATGATGTGACAGACTTTGAAGACTCCTCATGGAAGGCCTCACCCTCCTTGGGAAGCAGAAAAGGAATGGGATGGGGGTTGGTGGGGGCAGGGGAGAAAGGGAGGGTTTAGAAACTGGGATTGACATGTAAAACAAGCTTGTTTCAAATTTAAATTTTAAAAAAATTATTTAAAAACAAAAAAGTGAGCAAATACTACCCTGTATGGGTGGAGAAATGAGCTCATAACCCAAGATAACAATTTAGTGTCAGTGCTCGGGGGTTACCTAGCTCTGGGAGCCGATGACCAGGAAGGTCCAGAGGCCCCAAAACCACACTAGTGTCACTGCTGTTGGCTGCAAAACCGATAGAACAAACTCTGTCAGTGAAGATGCATCATGTTCTGGTTAGGACAGAAGACTCAAGCTGTGGCGGTAGCTAGCTCTTCCTGCTAGCTAGCTCCTGGGGTGCTGAATGATGTCATTCAGGCTGCTGGAGAGAATGGTGGCCAATCATCTGTTCTTTCCTTTCCATTGCTGTAATTAATTAACACCATGACCAAAAGCAACCTGAGGAGGAAAGGTTTATTTCACCTTACAGCTTAGCGTCCATCAGGAATGGAAGTCAGGGCAGAAACTCAAGGGGGGAACTTGGAGGTAGGAACGGAGGACGCCTGCTTACTGGCTTGTTCTCCATGCTGGCTCAGCTTGCTTTCCCACGCCACCCAAGGCCACCTGCTCAGGTTTTGCACCACTCACAGTGAGCTGTGTGGAGAGCTAGACCAACCCACAACTGTCTCAGAGGCCCCGATGAAAGGACAAAGGGGACATTAGTTCTGTGCTCTTAACCAGGAACAGACTTTGCAAGGCCAGTCTGAGGCTGGGGACAGTGCCTGGGAGGAGCTGAAGTTGCTGCTTTTGGAGATCTGAATTTTCCCCTGGGCTGTTGTTATCAGTCCTTAAGCAGCTGAGTCTGAGATATCCTGTGTTGCCTTTGCCAATATTGTCTGACTTAGTTCTCTGCTGACCTTGGCCACCTCCAACCCCTGCACAAATAATGTATGTATGTATGTATGTATGTATGTATGTATGTATGTATGTATATTCTTTATTTCTTTTTTCTGAGATAGAGTTTCTCAGTGTAACAGCTCTGACTGTCCTAGAACTCACTCTGTAGAACAGGCTGGCCTCAAACTTACAGATTTGCCTGCCTCTGCCTCTCAGCTGCTGGGATTAAAGTCATGTGCCACCAAACCTGACGATGCTATATACCTCTTAATAATTTTGCTTGGCATAAGTCATCAGTTAATGTAAGATCTCCTGATCCCAGGTATTGCTTTTGTCTCCTTCATTTCTCATTTGTTCTCATCCCTGGTCCTACCATTGAGCACCTACCTCACTATTCATGATCCTTGTTCCTGCAGGTTAAGGTTAGAACTGCTCCCTCCCACATCAATCATTTCACAATTAAATGCCCCCATAGTCTCGCCCACAGGCTAATATGACAGAGTCATTTCCCCAGCTGAGGTACCCTCTTTCCAGATACTGTAGCAGATATGGTTAATAGCATGGTGACCTCAGTGTCATCTGTGTGGCTGAGACCATACCAGATCCTCCACCAGACCCTTATTGTGGGCTTGTCAATCTATAGAACTCATCTTTATGGAGGATGTCACATGTACTTTACAGAGTTTTGATGTGGTCCTGTCTTAAGCTTTAATGTGTGCATGCCTTCAACTGAGTTATTTATCGCCAGGAAATTTTTCACAAAGTTGTGCTGAAATTTGAACAAATACTGACGACTGAGTTGTGTTGAGCCATCTCAGGCTTGTCACTTTAGTGGTTTGAATGAAAATGGCCCCAGTAGGTTCATAAGAAGTGGCACTATTAGGAGGTGTGGCCTTGTTGGAGGAAGTGTGTCACTCAGAACAGGCTTTGAGGTTTCAGATGCTCAAGCCAGGCCCACTGGCTCATTTTCTCTGCCTGCTGCCTACAGATTGGGATGTAGAACTCCCATGTCCTTCTTCAGCAGCACCATATCTGACTGCATGTAGCCATGCTTCCCACCACCACGACAATGGACTAGATCTCTGAACTGTAAGCAGCCCCAATTAAATGCTGTCCTGCCCTCACCACTCAATTGTGTGTCCAGAGGGAAGCCCTACTGCAATGCTTACTTTGGCTACTGTTTTCATGGAAAAATAAGGATTGGGGAAAACAGATAGGCTGAATAGATGTTTATTCAACAGAGACAGATGACTGCCAGCATCCCAAGGATGCCTCTAGATGCCCGCTGTCTCCGACCAGGAAGCAAGAGAGAGCTCCAGGGTCCAGACCCCAGACCTAGTTCTTCCAGGTCAAGTCTGCACCTATCCCCACCCCCAATGGGCGTGGTCAGTGCAACAGGTACGGCAGGGTGAACATCTCACTACAATTCCCCTTCTAGTCTAAAGAAAAGATTTAGGTTTGATATAAAACTATATATAAAGACAGTGAATATTAAGTATGCTCTAAGAAAATGAAAATCAAGAACATACAAACTTAAGACCTACATATCTAGTCCTAGGGTGAAGGCATAACAGAGATTACAATAGAGTTGTCCTAAGCTGGAAAATTTAAATCTAGTACCTAATATTTCTATCTAGGAAGAGAGAATAATAATTGTGATAGTCTAATCTTCAACCTCATCAAAGACCTGAGAGGGAAGATAACAATATTAGGGAAGGTAGGAAGTTCGGATCGGCAACTTCCAAATAGTGCAGCAAATACAGAAACAGCAGGCTACCTGGACAGTCAGTCACCCAAGGTCTCCCAGCAATGTTGGTGCAACCAGTTTTGGCTAAGGCCTAGAGTATCTGACAGACCACTACAGAAGCAGGGAGGTAGAAAGGCTGTCTTACCCTTTCTTGGCAAGGTCCAGCAGTCTTCTATGTTTGTCTCCTGTAAGCACATAGGACAGCACGTCCAAATCAGTGGTCAAGGTGGGGGCAGTTCTTTACCCAAGAGGCCGTTAGCTGAGGCGAGGATGGACTCCAGAAGGAGCAACAACAGTGCCCAACATATTTTGGGAAGTGCACAGTGCTGTTAGGAGTAATAGTGTCTCATGTCAACAGAGTACTAATATTAAAACATTTAAATGCCATGTTCTGCAGGTCTATGAAGTGTTTGAAGATTAAGCATCTATGTTTGACTAATCTCATAGGTATAAGAAACATGGGTGAAGATAATCTGTAATACTCAGGAACCTAACTATAAAACTGGTTGAAACTTCCCTGAGTAAAGCAGGGACAAATACTTTAGCAATATAACTATGTACATATATATACATGTAGAGTAGAAATGTCTTGACCAGAGGTAGAACTGTATAGTGTACAATTCCTAAATTAAATAAAAA